ATTGAGATTTGATGGTAACATGACTGACTGATGGTGTTGCACCCAGTTTGGAACAGTGTGGGTTTTGATGCAGAGAGCGAGATGAAACGTTTAAGATCACTTCAGTCTTATTTCAGCCATGTGATGATACTTCTACATTATTTCAGCCATATGATGATTTGGTGGGTTCGTGGGTGTGGCTTTTCTTGAAAGTACTACCATATAAATATTGTGATTTTTTGTTGTTGTCATTTCTGACAAGAATTGAGGGGTAGCTGCATGCCACTTGTTCACAGTTCGTTCCTGACTGTATGTCAATATGTACGATTCTTGCACTGTCAGGAATGTCGCATAACAGATGGTATCGTGTGATAAAATCAACTTTTAAGTTAAGAGTTTAAATATATGATAATATCACATGGCACCTGCATACTGTCTTGAGTGAGTGAGTATGGTTTTACGCCGCTTTTAGCAATATTCCAGCAATATCATGGATGGGGGCACCAGAAATGGGCTTCACACATTGTACCAATGTCGGGAATCGAACCCGGGTCTTCGGCGTGATGAGCGAACGCTTAAACCTCTAGGCTCCCAGACTGCCCCCATACTGACTTGAAGTAATAATAGTGTTGAAGTCTGAGCTACGAGTACCTTGTGTGTGATGATAAAGTAAGCCTTTGTGGGACTTTGTAGGGCACCTGCAATTGACTAGAGATGGAGAAGACTGAAAAATAGTGTTGTTGTTTTGTGTTCTTGGGAGGGGACCATGAAGGAGAAAGACTTTTTTGTTTTATTTACAAAATATTAATATTTGTAAGTTTTAAGAAGAAGACTGCTGTAGCAGATTTGCTTCTTTAGGAAAGGATATGAGTTCTGATTGACAAACCTTCAGAGGGGGAAAAGGGAGGGGGAAAAGGGAGGGGGAACAAAGGAATCTATTAGAGAGAATCATCATTTTGCTGTACACTTATGGATAACTGAAGTGAATTGTTTTATAGGCATTACTTAAGTGTTCACAAAAACATTATGCAAGTGTGTTGGTTGCCCACCTGGCGTTAGTTCAAGAGTCATGGGATTTCCCCTCCACCCCAAACCACACATCTCCTCTTCCTTAGTGAACCTATAGCACTACTGCTATGTTCTGTTGCCCAAATCCTCATACCCCACCTCTGTACACCCAAAGAAATCCATCTTCTCAAGGGGACACCTCCTCCTCTTTACCCATTCCGGGTGGCCAGGCTCGCTGACTTGGTTGATGCATGTCATCGATCGCAATTGTGTGATCAATGCTCATGATATTAATCACTGGATTGTCTGGTCCAGACTCGATTATTTACAGACCGCAGTCATATAGCTGAAATATTGCTGAGTGCGACGTTAAACAACAAACCAACCACCCAACCAACCAACCCATTCAAACATGTCAATAAGTAATGGCAGACAATTCAAGTATTTTGGGGAGGGAAACAAAATATGAGGTTTATGAATATTAAACATGAGGACTGGTATCTAATTACCAAGGAATCATTTTCAGACGAGGGTTAACCTGCCAAAATCTTACAGAAGTTTGAACAGCCATCTTTCTGCCAGGTGATGAGGCAGTGTCAGATAGTGATCATGTTAGTGGGGGATGTTGAAACCAGCCTGCCCATTCACTAAAGTAAAATTTCCTCCAAGCAGCACTACTAAGCTGGCTGTGATACAAGGAGCAGTGATCTAAATATAGGTCTCCCACAGAGGAACACTTCCTTGGTTGGCAGCTGAGGGAGGCCTATTCACAAACGCTGGTGCCTGGCTTCTTGTTGAATAGCATGGTATTCCCCTGGCCTTCCCCATACCTATCCACCATTCACAGTCTCCACTATTGTACAAACTGCCCCTTGCATTTTTAGGAGTAGGATATCAGGTTATGAATGAATTATTGAACACAAGCTTCAGCTATTGTACTGTAATGGCCATATGCATGTACCCTAGGAACTAGTTCAGTTCATGGTATTGTCTACACATGTGTAGGCCTGCTGAGACTGTCGTTGGTATAAAGTATTGTACACCACTGTCAGGGATAAGTTCTACATTTCATTTGCCTTGGTATGGATAACACAGATGTCCTATAGTACATGGGGTAAACATGGTGGGCAATGAGTTTGAAATATTATGTTTGGTGATGGGGCAATATGCTGGGGAGAAGTGAAGCTCAAACCATTACTGTTCTTAGATAATAATGCTGTGCAACTTCATAGATGGTTTTAACATTATCCAAGTTCGGGATGACTTTCTGTGGAAACTACTCTCACTGCTCATGAATCATAAATTGTTTTTTCTTCAGAAGACCTGTTGAATGGATTTCTACATGTATGCATTCTATTACCATCAGGACCATCCCAGAGAAGGTTATGTTACAGTCATCCCACTTATATATATGCCCTTTATGAATAAATGATGTGTTATTTTTTGCTGACTTTCAAAATCCTACCCTTTTCTTGTGTTATCGACCCGTGAAGATCCGGGGTGGAACAGGTCTTCAGCAACCCATGCTTGGTGTAAATGGCGACTATGCTTGTCGTAAGAGGTGACTAACGGGATCGGGTGGTCAGGCCCACTGACTTGGTTGATGCATGTCATCGTATCTCAATTGCATGGATCGATGCTGATGATGTCAATCACTGGATTGTTTGGTCCAGACTCGATTATTTACAGACCGCCATCATATACCTGGAATATTGCTGAGTGCGGCGTTAAACAACAAACCAACAATCAAAATCTTGTGTTATCCCATGAGCATGAAATATAGTTGTACAACTTTTGTTAGATTGTGGGGCATGAAACATTGAAAGGTCACCAGTACCTGATGTCTATAATAACATGGCTCAAGATGGTCACAATGGCTGCCAAGTATGAATAATTACTGGTTGGCGGATCGCCAATGTAGTGAAGCTCCATGGCCTGCATCGCTTCAGGTTTTCATCAGACATTTAGCTGTCATGCTGTCCTAGAACTGTTGTACTGTTTAAAGTGACATTAAACACAACTCATTCATTCAATGGATTGTTCACACTAGTCCCACTCATTCACCCACTCTCTCACACACTGAACAAAGACTCACTCGCTTATTAATTCACCCACTCTCTCTCACACTGAATAAAGACACTCACTCACTCACTCACTCACTCACTCACTCACTCACTCACTCACTCACTCACTCACTCACTCACTCACTCACTCACTCACTCACTCAAGTAACTAATACCTGTTCTTTAACATTGAAGTTGCCCTGTGAAGATCCGGGTTAGAACAGGTCTTCAGCAACCCATGCTTTCTGTAAGAGTCGACTAACGGGATTGGGTGGTCAGGGTAGCTGACTTGGTTGATCCATGTCATTGTATCCCAGTTACGTGGATCAATGCTCATGATGTCATCACTATATTGTCTGGTCCAGATTCAATTATTTACAGATGACCGTCATATAGATGAAATATATTGCTAAGTGCAGTGTTGAACAACAAATAGGAAGGTGGTCAAGCTGTGGGACTTTGCTGGTTTGTCTGGTGGTACACCAGTTATTTACAAGTCTCTGTAATACTGCTGTTGTATGACTGACTGCTGCACAAAACAACAGATGACTGACATGGATGTCAGCACAAACACTTCCCCAAATGATCACATACATTCCAGCTATTGAAACAAAGAATTTCTACTTGCTCAAAGTGAGATCTTTTGACATGGTTAACATTGGGGAAGTTGTTTCAGACAAGTGGGCGAGTGACTAATACCTTTCCTGCTCAGCTAACGAGTCCATTATATGTGATTCCCAGCCATCTTATCATAGATACGTCCATCATTTAGTCAATCATGCAAATATCTCCTCATGATGGGCCTGAATGAAACAGTCACAGAGTGCCTACCTCAGCATCTGTTCATATTTAAGTAATTAGAACAGCCTCCCCCTTCAACCAGGGGTTAATGTATGCAGGGTATGAATGACTGTTGATAAAGTTTGTGAAGATATCTCATTTGAGTTGTGTGAGTCATCATGGACGGTTGAGAATGGCTACAACACACATGAACACTGAAGGGCTCGCCAACTCTCTACCTTCTTCTATTGTTTCTAAATAGGCTAGAGGTGTCTACAATCTGTTGTTTCTTGGTAGGCTGAAATTGTCAAGCAATCTGTTGTTCCTAGTTAGGCAAGAAGTATCTAGCAACACAAGTGTCTAACAGTGGTATAACAATACAGTATTGTGATACGAGGCCCACGATACAATACATCGATTTACAACATATGTATCGCGATACATATGATACATTACATTACAAGCTATATCAGTGTAAAAGCATGTAAGTAATAGCAGAAACTGTTTGCCAACCCACTTATGGAGATTCTCTAGGATTTCCCAGTTGGCTATAAATAGCGTAACATTCACTGTGCCCTCTAGCCTATGTGATTCTGCACTATAATATCCCATATTTGATCTATGAAATTTAGAAACCTATGATTCAGTGTTGTGATTCACCTGCAAAAAGAAAGAATATCAACTTTTGAAATTAAAGTACTGTTTCTGGATAAGTATTGTATCATACTCAGAGTATCGGGATATGAATCGTATCATACTCATAGTATCAGGATATGAATCATATCATACTCATAGTATCGGGATATGAATCGTATCATACCCATAGTATCGGGATATGAATCGTATCATACTCATAGTATCGGGATATGAATCGTATCATACCCATAGTATCGGGATATGAATCGTATCATACTCATAGTATCGGGATAAGTATTGTATCATACTCAGAGTATTGGGATAAGTATCGTATCGCAACCAAACACTATTGTTTCACCTCTAGTGTCTAACATACACAAACACACGCACATACATGCACATACATGCACACAAATGCAATATTTATGAGTTCAAGTTTTGATAGAAATAACCATGTGTATTCACTGGTCAGAAGCTCTGACTGATATTGATATATGTGATGTTTGTAATAATGTTGTGTTTCCTTTGTTTCAGTGGCGACTACCTTGTGCATGTACAAGCACAGGTTATGACCCGTGATGACTCGACTGGCGGCTGGGTGCCCATGGGAGGTGGGGGTCTTAGCAATGTTGGACTACGAAAGCTGGAATATAAATTCAATGGAGGAGGGGACAGTAAAAATGAGTACGTCATATATGGTGAAAGGATAGCCGACAACACAGTAAGTATATATGGATATATTTTTCATAGCATGTAAAATGTTTTAATTCTGATATTAATTGATGCATGGACATGTCTGGTTCCAGTGGTAAATTCCACCATGATAAAGCTGGAATATTGCTGACTGCGGCATTAATGAAAACAAAACAAATAGTTGTAAGGCATTCTCACTGGTTCCAGGTGTAAGTCGTTCCACCTGGTTCCAGGTGTAATTCGTTCCATCTGGTTCCAGTGGTATGCCGTTCCATCTGGTTCCAGTTTATGTCGTCCATCTGGTTCCAGTTGTGTCGTTCCATCTAGTTCCAGGTGTAAATTGTTTCACCTGGTTCCAGTTGTATGCCGTTCCATCTGGTTCCAGTTGTATGTTGTTCCATCTGGTTCCAGGTGTTATTCGTTCCACCTGGTTCCAGTTGTATGTCGTTCCATCTGGTTCCAGTTGTGTGTCGCTCCATCTGGTTCCACGTGTAAATTGTTCCATCTGGTTCCAGTTGTATGTCGTTCCATCTGGTTCCAGTTGTATGCTGTTCCATCTGGTTCCAGTTGTATGTCGTTCCATCTGGTTCCAGGTGCTAGTTGTTCCATTGGGTTCCATTTGTAAGCCTTATCACTGGTTCCAGTTGTAATTCATTCCATTTGGTTCCAGCTATAAGTCCAATGACAGGTTCAACTTGCTCTGTTATGTTTTTAATTGTTACGCGACGACATCTACGAGCTGCGAATGAGCTGCGAGTGCCGTAAGTCATTGTTAAATGTTGTGGTAGGTAAGTTCGTCTTTGCGCAGAGTTCACTATGTGGAATAGGCCCTGAAGTCAAATGATGACATTAGGTGCTTAGTTGCTGTGCCCTAGACCCATCACTATTGTGCAAAATAAACAAATTAGGCTGTAAACCTTGGCCATGCTCACTGTTTGCTGAGTCAGGGTAATTAATTTGAAGATTGCAAGGAAGATGGTTTAACAAGTCAGTGGGTTTGTCATAACTTGTCAATGCAATTTCAAGTTAATTTGGATGTATGAGGTGAGCTGCAACCTGTTACATGATTTTAAAAAATTAATATTGGAAATAGGCGCTTCTTCCAGACAGGTGACAAGTTTTAGTCTTTCAACAAGTAAAGTGTGTCCCAGAAAACTTAGTGTTTACATTCTCAAAGTATCAGTATCAAAATTCCTCAATCAAAACTCCCCTGACCAAAAGACGTTATTACCTGCAGGTAATGTTTTGAAGTGCAGAAGAAAAATCTGGAATTTCGATTTTATTTTAAGTTATTTTTCCATAAAATCTGTAAAACAAATAAACATTTCCTCTACAGTCTCCACCAGCCCTGCTAGCTCCCATCTCTTTTATACATGCTGTGGTCAGTGGAAGACCCCAGAAAGTCACTGGGTATCTCCAAGCCCTTCCAAGCCAGCCTGCTCCATTGTGATCAGCAGTCCACAGCCCAGATTCATTCAGTCACTGGCTGTCCTGCCCATAACCTTACCACAACTGACCTTTACCTTCTTCCTAGACTAACCTTCACCTCTCGTGCTGATTGACCATAGCCTATTATGGTCTCCGACCTCAGCTAATCTCAATACTCCCACTCACCATTGAGACCAGACCTAATTAGTCCGACTGGCCAGTGGTCAGCTATGGTCAGTTTCAGCATTCATGGTCTGCTATTGATCTGGTAAATTGTGTAGACTTCGTCTGGAAGGCTTTGACTCCTTTAGGGGAGGCACAAATGAATTGCTTGAAACTATTAACATGGCCTTTTCATTCATATGCAGGCTTGACACCAAGGGTTAATTACATGGTAATTCCCATAGGTGAAGTACTGTTCCTGATTCAGTTTTATAGCACAACAATGTCAAAATCATGTCTTCCAACAGACTACTATTGTCTTAGTAAGAAAAACTAGGTTTCATTAGGACAACTGTGTCAAGATGTAGTACAGTGCTTGTGCTTGTGTTTGTTTCAATAAAACATGGATATTCATAATAGCTTTGACACATTTGAAGGACCACATTTATGAGCCTTTGTTTTAGGATTGTAGAATAATTTTTAACAATGTTCATTTCAGGCCTGATATATGTGTTACATATATGACCCTCCTTTCAGTGTCAGTAATTGGATGATCAAATGAAATAGAAACATGCCAAAAGAACCAGTAAGCAGACAATTATGTTTTCTTGAAATGTAAGATGGTTTCAACAAATGTATGTTGTGTTCCATCACTTACAGGAGCTTCACTATTTTACAATTTACACATGACCTTAATGACGAACAAACTATCTATCACTGGACACATTCAGGTGGATTATTTAGCTTGTATGAGCTGAAGGAAGGAATGTCAGGACCAGTTTGGATCACATCTTGTTGGTAGTTACTTTGGGCAGTCTGATGTATGAATGCTTCTGTGTTATCTGAGACAATAATAATAATAATCATAATCATAATGTAAAAGTCCATTTGTCAATTGCTATTCTTAATGCACTAAACATGCTTGGAGCGCAGAGGTGGTATAGGTATTTTAATATATTATACCAAACGGTAGTTGGGAATACCAGGTAGAGGCCTCTCACTGGTATCCCCTACACAATTTAGACAGAGAATACGGGTCGGTCAGGTAGCCTCCTGGTTAAGGCGTTCGCTCGTCATGCCGAACACTTGGGTTTGATTCCTGACATAGGTACAATGTGTGAAGCCCATTTCTGGTGTCCCACGCCGTGATATTGCTGAAATATTGCTAAAAGCAGCGTAAAACCAAACTCACTCACTCACTCACTCACTCACTCACTCACTCACTCACTCACTCACTTTGCAAAAGAGAGCTTTGAGTAGAGAGGACATATTTTGAGTTCAGCTGTAATGTACATGAACTATCATAGTTTCGTCTCTTGTCATGCCGAGGACCTAGGTTTGACAACCCACATGGGTAGTATGTGAAGCTTTTAATGGTGGGATACAACTGGAATATTGCTTAAAGTGGTGTAAGACCATCATCACTTCTGTCTGATCTACTACAAATAACTACCTCCATTATTGTTCCAGTTGTGAATACAAAGAAGGTTCTATCCCAAACATCAGAGCAAAACTGATGATTAATTATTTAAGTTCATTATGGTCCATCAATGACATTATAATTGTGTCTTCAATTATGGAGATGTTAAATACCTGCTGCCTATTGGTAGACCAGGGCTAATGTATGCAGCATATGAATGGCTGTTGATACCTATGGTGAGGCCATCTAATTATAAAGTAGTGAGTCACCAGTAGCTGTAGGTGAATGGCTCAGTTGCCTGTAGGGAGTACTTTGTGTGTATGTACCATAGTTTACAGCCAAGCCTTCTAAGCCGGAGACCTATGAATTGTTACAGTACGCATGGTGGGATGCGATACAGGAGGGTTAGGATGGGGTGCAGGAGGATTAAGATGAGGTGCAGGAGGTATAGGATGTGATACAGGAGGAGGGTACAGGTTGGATGCAGAAGGATTAGGATGTGATACAGGAGGAGGGTACAGGTTGGATGCAGGAGGATAAGGATGTGATACAGGAGGAGGGTACAGGTTGGATGCAGGAGGATAAGGATGTGATACAGGAGGAGGGTACAGGTTGGATGCAGGAGGATAAGGATGTGATACAGGAGGAGGGTACAGGTTGGATGCAGGAGGATTAGGATGTGATACAGGAGGAGGGTATGGGTGGGGTGCAGGAGGATTAGGATGTGATACAGGAGGAGGGTACAGGTGGGATGCAGGAGGATTAGGATGTGATACAGGAGGTGAGTAAGGGTGGGGTGCAGGAGGATAAGGATGTGATTCAGGAGGAGGGTATGGGTGGGGTGCAGGAGGATTAGGATGTGATTCAGGAGGAGGGTATGGGTGGGGTGCAGGAGGATAAGGATGTGATTCAGGAGGAGGGTATGGGTGGGGTGCAGGAGGATAAGGATGTGATACAGGAGGAGGGTACAGGTTGGATGCAGGAGGATAAGGATGTGATACAGGAGGAGGGTACAGGTTGGATGCAGGAGGATAAGGATGTGATACAGGAGGAGGGTACAGGTTGGATGCAGGAGGATAAGGATGTGATACAGGAGGAGGGTACAGGTTGGATGCAGGAGGATTAGGATGTGATACAGGAGGAGGGTACAGGTGGGATGCAGAAGGATTAGGATGTGATACAGGAGGAGGGTACAGGTTGGATGCAGGAGGATAAGGATGTGATACAGGAGGAGGGTACAGGTTGGATGCAGGAGGATAAGGATGTGATACAGGAGGAGGGTACAGGTTGGATGCAGGAGGATTAGGATGTGATACAGGAGGAGGGTATGGGTGGGGTGCAGGAGGATTAGGATGTGATACAGGAGGTGAGTAAAGGTGGGGTGCAGAAGGATTAGGATGTGATACAGGAGGAGGGTATGGGTGGGATGCAGTAGGTATAGGATGTGATACAGGAGGAGGGTACAGGTGGGATGCAGAAGGATTAGGATGTGATACAGGAGGAGGGTACAGGTTGGATGCAGGAGGATAAGGATGTGATACAGGAGGAGGGTACAGGTTGGATGCAGAAGGATTAGGATGTGATACAGGAGGAGGGTACAGGTTGGATGCAGGAGGATAAGGATGTGATACAGGAGGAGGGTACAGGTTGGATGCAGGAGGATTAGGATGTGATACAGGAGGAGGGTATGGGTGGGGTGCAGGAGGATTAGGATGTGATACAGGAGGAGGGTACAGGTTGGATGCAGGAGGATTAGGATGTGATACAGGAGTTTGGTATGGGTGGGGTGCAGGAGGATTAGGATGTGATACAGGAGGTGAGTAAGGGTGGGGTGCAGGAGGTATAGGATGTGATACAGGAGGTGAGTAAGGGTGGGGTGCAGGAGGATTAGGATGTGATACAGGAGGTGAGTAAGGGTGGGGTGCAGGAGGATTAGGATGTGATACAGGAGGTGAGTAAGGGTGGGGTGCAGGAGGATTAGGATGTGATACAGGAGGTGGGTACAGGTGGGATGCAGG